TATTAAACAAATACTACTTCTACTTACTACTACTATTAAACAACTACTACTTACTACTAGTATTAAACAACTACTACTTACTACTACTATTAAACAACTACTATTATTAAACAAATACTACTTCTACTTACTACTACTATTAAACAACTACTACTTACTACTAATTACTACTACTTACTACTATTATTAAACAACTACTACTTACTACTATTAAACAACTACTACTTACTACTACTTACTACTACTATTAAACAACTACTATTATTAAACAATTACTATTATTAAACAACTACTACTATTAAACAACTACTACTATTAAATACTACTACTATAAACTACTTACTACTACTATTAAATACTACTACTATAAACTACTTACTACTACTATTAAATACTACTACTATTAACTACTTTCTACTACTATTAAACAAATACTACTTTTAACGACTACTACTATTAACTACGACTACTATTCATGCTTTACAATTTATTCCAACTACTACAACTACAACAACAACTGGCCTTACTGCAACTCTTACGCCTGCAGTCTCGGTATTACTGTTATAAATTTATTCAATCAATTCGCAACGGTATATCTGTTAACATTAATTCCATTTCTATTTAGCAAAAGAGATAATTGGATACAAATTAAATATGTATCTAAAGTATGGCTCACTAATTAAAGAGCTGTCACTAACTATTTCCGAAATCGCGTCACTAAAACAAAGCAAATATAGTCGTAAATTCTGCAAACAGTTGTTAAATTTTCGTAAATTGAATTTAAATGCAAAAGTTTGTTTGCAACTTTTTTTTCTCGTGTGATTCAAATTGGATTTAATTCTTGTTTTCATCTGTCAGTTGTTGTCTCCCTCTCTCTCTCTCTCTCTCCCTCTCTGTCTGTGTAAATGAAATGATTACGCAAAAGGTTAGACAATTCGCTGCACTTTAATTGGATAGAAATTGTGGCTAGCATTGCAACACATAACAAGCAGATGCAGATGCAGCAGCTGATGCGGATTTCAATAAATATCATAAATATATGTCTGGCCCTCGTCGCCTACCTCTCCCTCTCTCTCTCTCTCTCTCTGGGGCGCTTTCTAATTCTCTTGGCCTGTCTCAAATAAGGTCGAGATAAATGCGTTGCCAACAAATGTTGCCGCTTGCAGCTGCTTTTGCTGCTGCGCAATTGCAATTATGTCATTGCAATTGCAATTTTTTACGCTCTAATTAAAGTGCTGACAGTTATTCAATTATCCCCGCAAACGCTAACCCCTGCCGCTGCCCCTGCTGCTGCCCCTGCCGCTGCTCGCCCCAGCCATTAGGCGCTGCACACTCAATTAAATGCGCATTTCTCAAGGCGTTGGGCCATAGCACAGCGAAACCAGTCAAAAGCCGCATACGAAACTTGGCTTTTCTCCGCCACTCGTGTAATGGCCAACGATGAGCACTCAAAATCGCATTAGATCCAACTTTCTGCCACTCCCTGCTGCCCTTCAGCCAGCCCTCCGCCTTAACTTGGCCTAAAAGCAGACTACGCAAAGTAACATCAATCAATTTTTGGCTTTCAAGTCGCGTACGCAGCAATTTGTTTGTATAGAAAATGCCCCGAAGTGTGCACCCCTCGGTTCGACTCCGCCCGGTTCTTCGGTCGTAGTTCCCGTTTGCTGTCTAACTTTTAATGTATTTCGAGCACGTCTAACCGCAGGCTAGGGCCAACTGGGGGTGCGAAGTGTGTGTGTGTGCGTGAGTCGGCTGTATTGATATGCCTATTGATATAGGCAGGCATCATCCCCATCATCATCAGCATGCAGATGCCTCCAGCCAGCCTCGCCTGCCTGTCTGCCTCTGGCATCAATTTCAACACCCTTTTTGGTCGTTCCGTCCCCCATGTGGGCCCCACAAAATGTTGTTGCTCCTTCTGCCTATTACTTGTAATAATATTTTAGCAATTTTTGTTGCCATGTCACATATGCGAACATCTCTCCTCTTCATGTCAAGCTGAGGCATTCCAGTTCCTTTTGCTGTCCGCCTCTGGCCCCGCCTTTGCCCCCGCCCCGTTGCCCCTCTTCATGCGTCTCCTGCCACCGTGAATGTCCCTTTTGAAGCCAAGAGCAACAAAATTTGCATTTTTATGTCGCCTACGCCTAGGCCAAGGCAACAAAACAGACCAGGGCAGGGCAGGGCAGGGCGGGCATCTGTCGAAGAGAAATTGATTTGATGCAAATTAACGACAGCTTCTTGTCAATCTCATGAGTTGCCCAAGATGGAAAAACGAAATAAAATACCGAATTGATGTCTACACTCTCGACAAGTCTGAAGGTGTTTATGAAAAAGCCTTCAATTTAGATGACTAAAAGAAGAAGACCAGTTGAATTATGAAATCTTTCAGTAAAAAGTCTTTGAAGAATTATCGCATTGTTCATATGTTTCATTCAAGATTTTTCCACCTTACTCTCAACCCACATTACATTTGTAGAGTATCTCGGGTGCGTGGTGCAACTCTTTCGTTATTTTTTACTCATTTGCTGTCCCTTTTTATGGATTCATGCAAATTTTTAATGGATTTTTAAGTAGGGACTTTAAAATTAGGCAACAGAAAAGGCAATTTATTTCAAAGATTTTGGCAGGACAACAATGTCGTCTATCTATCTCCTCGGGCTTGTCCTGTCACTTGACTCGATTTGCAAATTCATGTTATTGTTGTTGAAATTAATTTAAATTTAATTTTGCATTTTCCTCATCTTCTCGTTTTAGGTAAGTTCAACTCCAGCCAAAGGCATTTTCCAACTTCTAACCAGACCTTGCGTAAGTCAGCTTTAAGTTCAGCTCCCGATCAACATTGGAAGTGTAATCGGCCCATTAGAATAGAGTGCCAGCCACTTGACAGCGACCGCATAATTACTTTCATTTTCATTTTCAGTTTCAAAGTCATTTTCCAGCGCACAGTCTGAGAGCCTTTAAGCCCGGCCGCAAATGCGCTTAGTCCAAGCAGTCGCGGCTCGGCCCTGCCGGTTGCCTTGGCAGCTGAGCCACATTGAGCTGGATTAGGCGCTAACTACTGCCATGTGCCCGGGCCAAGTAGCCGCAGAATATTGTCGTTCCCCTCAGTTAGTGCTGCTTGGTCCACGACCATAAATTAATCAGCCCAGAAAACTCCTCTGAGAAATAAAAAGACGAAAACTGACGGGATGCCCCCCGCCCCACAAGAATGGACAAACATTTTTTTGCGGCGCAGTTTTTTAAGCCAAATAAATGACGTTAGATTCACTTTCAACGCGGCCATAGCCACCTGTCCAGCTGGTCGCGCTGTGTCCTGCTACGCACGAAATGCTTATTATTTACTTTATTAATTTAAGTGTAGACCCCGACCCCTGGCGCTTGTTAGCAGGGGTGGCAAATAATTTTCTTTTTCCCCACCGTCCCGTTAGCGCTTCTTCATCAATTAATTCTATTAAAGCCAAATATTTACACGGACCTGCTGTCCAGGCAACAGCGAAAAAAGCAACAACATAGAAAAAAAAAAAAAAAACAACAAAATTAAACGACGACAGTTTATTGAGAGTGCAACCACTTTTGGGCCCATCTGTAAACATGGCCAGGGAGCACAGCCCATCCCTGGGCTGGCTGCGTAGGTGCGTGCTGGCCACACCCAGGACACGTCCTGTGCGCACAGGACACATAGAACAAAAGCGGCCTAGACTTTATTAAAAGTAATGACCCAATGCGGTGTGCAGGTGTAGTACGTTCCGTTAGAATTGTGGGCGGGGTAGCAGCGCGAACTAGCTACAGTAAACTCAACTCAAACTGAACAATTATAGAGAACTAGCTCAGAATTGTGGCTGTTGATAAGGAATATCGCATATAGATTGATGAAATATCGAATATAGATTGATATAGAACTGAATAGCTTTACGCTTTTAAAAATGAATTCATTGAATTGCTTTATCACTTGTTTCTTTCTCTCTCTCTCTCTCTCTCTTTCTCTCTTTCTTCCAACTACTTAAACCAACTTCTACAGCCGATACTCTTCATAATAATGAAAAGGCAATTAAAACGCAATTGAAATATATTTGTAAAAGACTTTTTCAAGAAGTTTTTTATGTTCTTTGTTTACCAATTTGTAGACTCAAGCCTTTTGATGTTAATCTTCCCCATTCATTAAATGCATTTAATTGCCAAGGATTTATGTACGCCTTGCTCTCTTTGCGTTCGTCTCATTCGCATCCACCCATCGTTCTCTCGATTTGCTCGTATTTTAATTGTTCTTCGTTGTTCGAGTTGAGCTTGAGGTAATAACACGCCAACTTGCAGCAAGTTGCTACGCCAGATATGCCACGCCTCCAGCACACTTGTAGCGCACACACATTAAACGCTTATGACAATGCTCCTGCTCCTGCTCCTGCTTCTGCTCCTGCTTCAGCTACTGCTCCTGCCCGGGCCAACACGCCGACAAAAGGACATTTTGTTTGTCAAATGTTTGTCATTTGTAAATGTCAAACGGCGGTCGAGCATATTTTGCATTCATGGAACCGAAACGAAGAGACTGACGTAGTGTGAGCATTAGAGACAAACAGAGAAAATACTAAACTCCTAATAAGAGCAGAGGATGCTAGGAGATATGCCGAGGCAGAGAAGGAGCAGTTGCTTCTGCTCTTCTAACTAGAGCCACAGGCGAGCCAGTGCTCATAATGTGCTTGCAACTACAGACCCGCATGATTCTGACAGAGACAGGTGGAATGAGAAAGAGACAGACAGACAGAGAATGAGAGTCGGAGAGATGGCGAGGTAAATCAAGAGAAATGACAGGCAGTCAGCAGGAATTTCGTCAGTCTTTGAATGAATTTTCTACAGCACCCAAAATTATGAGACATATTTTGGTCTTGCTTGGGGTTTTCGAATGATGGTATAGCCACAATGGGAGGGGACAACTGGGCTGAGCGAAGGCAGTGCAAGTGGTTGCTGTTTTGTCATATAGAAATCTGACATTTAAATATTTACTTGCGTCAACTTGTGACATTTTACTCATTATGAAAGCCAAAGCTGGATCTGACGATATGCGTTTCGCTTTCAGGTCTCAGTGGTGCGCTGGTTGGGTGGAAGCGATGAGGGGCTTATGTTTGAGATGCTTTCTGGATGATTTCCTCCTGGGGGTGCCGGTGGTGCTGGTGGTGCTGGTGGTGTTCTTCTTGTTCGAGGCTTCGGTTTTGAACAACTTGTGTCATGCTTTTACATAATTTGCCGTCGGAGCATTTCATATTCATAAGCTGACGCAATTTTGACAGTTTTTAGTGCCTTTTTGTCATTGTCTGAAGTCTCGACAGCTTCTTGTTCTTATATTGTTTTGATTTATTTCCACGCCGTTGCGGGAAGTTTGGGCGGAGTTGTAAGTTTGTGGGGCTATCATTTATCAACGCTTCCGGGCGGCAGAGTTTTTCCTCTGTTTTGTTTCTGTTGAGTGACTGCTGTCTCCTTTCTTTCAATTGGATCTGCTGTTTGCTGTTATCGTTATTCTCCTTCTCTCTCTCTCTGTGGAAAACATTTTCTGGCCTTGGGGCAGGTATAAATGTTGTTGTAAATGTATTTTTAAATGTAATGAGATTATTACGCAATTAGTAAAAGTTTTCTGCGGGCGGCGTGCGCTGGATGGAAGTAAAAGGAGCGAGAGCTTTGCGAAACTGAGCCCTGAGGTAGGCTTTTAACTGCTCGGATTTTATAGCTAATTTATTTTTGCGTGCGCTTCAGTTATTATGTGTCTGAGGGTCTTCTTGTTTTGGATGAGGATGCGACTTTAATGGGCGTGTTACACACAAACCCCGTCCACAATTTGATTTACAGTAAAATAATCCAATGTGGGCTGCTCAAAGTTTCTCTCAAGTGGAATGGCCGTATAGACAATTTTTAACTTAATTAACATCTCTTTTATCAGTCTATATAAATGATCCTGTCTGTCTCACAGAACATATTTATTTATGCTTATATGTGCACAATTTTTATCCATTGAATTTTCATTCGTTTATTCTGCTTATTGCTTAGGTTATTTTCTCATGTGTTGCTCTTAGGCGGCTTTCACTGTAGCTGTGGCATGAATTTTGTCCATTTAGTTGCAAGCTCATGGGGCAAAACTCTTAATTAATTAAAAATAGAGAGCACTTTGTAGCCATGTACCTGAGTGTAGCAAACTTTGTTTTGTGGATGTGTGTGTGTGCTCATGTATGTGTGCTCATGTGTGTGTGTAACATTTAGGGTCAAAAATATAAAATTTTTGCATAAACAACAGAGGTTCGGGTGAACATTTCATTAATGGCCTGGAATGAAGAGACCACACAGAAACGTAACTGGATTCTGGCACACACAGTCTCCCTCTCTCTCTCTCTCCCTCTCTCTCTCCCTCTCTCTTTCTTCCTGTAGCTCCCCTAGAGCCTCGACTGCCTGAGCGGCATGCTTAGTGGCTCAACAAACACAAGAAGTCAAGACATTTACACTGCACTTCATTCCTCAGCTTCAGCTTCATCATTAGCTTTAGCTTTAGCTTCAGCTTCAGCTTCAGCTGGGCGCAACTTCGTGTCGGAGCCCAGGCAAATGAACCTTAAGAACAAATCATTATTAAAGACCCGTTTCTAACTCTGTGAGCTGACTTGGCTAGCCCTCTTGCGCCCTCGTATATAAAAGTCCCGGAGTTTTATATTTCTAATTATGTAGAAAACTTTGCACCATGCTGCATGCTCGCTCTTGGCTTACCTAGGGTCCTTGTGAGTGTGTGTGTGTGTGTGTGTGTGTGTGTGTGTGTGTGTGTGTGTGTGGTGTG